TGAAAAGTGAGAAAATGGATGGAAGTTGCCTTAAGGATACAAAAGATTATAGGTCATTTCATGATTTTTTGCCAACTTCAACAATTCATAACTCTCTCAATTTTTGGATATTTTGAATGGTTCAAGTCCCAAAATGTCATTCAAGAGGTCTATTTCATGCCATCTTTTTTGGTCAAGAGCAAAATCCAAGGGGAAGGCCATGTTTGGATGTAAGACATTATAGGTCACTTTTGAAGAAAAATTTAAAATATTTCTAAGTATGGAAAGTCAACCCTTTTTCTCCAACTTTGACTTAACACAACTTTCAGCTCAAGCATCCATTTTATTCCATTCTTTTTCCATTGAAAATCTTGTAACCTCATCTTTCTAAAGCATCAAGAATCATACCTTAAGACCCCTTGAGCTGAGAATGCCATTGGATTGAACTTGGTAACTTGGAACTGAAGTTTTCCCATAAGTCAGAATTTGAAGTCTTTGTTTTGGCTTCTAATCACAAGTTTTTCATGCGTTTATGACTCTAAACATGTTTAATGAAGTTCCAGAATTGATTAGCACAACAAAATGCACATTTTTGGTGAGTTTTGATCAAATTAGAAGTCACACTTTTCTTGTTTGCAACTTCACACGATTTCCCTCCAAACTTCGTCATTTCACACGCTTGGACATTCCATTTGATTCCCTATAAATAGAGGGTCATCCCCCATTCATTTCCTCAAGCTTGGATAGCCATAATCACCCTGCCAAACTTGTTCCATACCTCAAAATTCAGCAACTTCGAAATCTATTCTCAAGCCTTTTTCAATCCAATTTTTCCATCAATTCACCTTCCTTGATCTTCCCTGAAGCTAACCATATAATTACATTCAAGAATCGTGCCCTATATTTCTCCATAGAAGTCCAATTTCAGAGCTCTGCAACTCAATTTCAATAGGTAGATTCCTTCATCAATTCTTCAAAACTTTGATATCATTGTGATGCTCTCATTGCCCTGGTTCTAGTTGCAACACTTGCTTTTTAATGGAAACACGTTTTAACCATGAAATTTCAAATCCCTTTTCAAAACTTTCCTTCTAAATTGCTTGAGCTACAGTTTATATAAATTTGTCGCGAATGTGTGGTTATCTTTGTCTTGAAGAGACGAAGCAAATGGCATAGGTCTCGTGCTCTAATTTTACAGATTGAGCAACCTAGTTTTAGGACTGGCTGGAGGTTGAAGATGACCAACGTGTCATCTTCCAAACAATGAAGACACGCCATCTGTATTTTTCAAAAATTTGATTTAATTAATGATCATATGCATTATTCACTAAAGTCCATAACATGCACAGTGTGCCAGGTCCACTTGATCTGTTTACTAATGCGTTTTAACATTGATCAGATGGCCCATATTTTTTTGGTTTTTATTTTCTTTTCTGATTTTTATATTTAATTATTTTAAACTTCAAAAAATTATAGAAAATTCATTTTTAGTCCAAAAAATCTGAAAAAGTTATGAAAAATATTTTTGATTATTCTCTTTCTGATTTTTTATTTTTTCATGATTTAATTTTGTGTTTTGGTATTTTTTATAAATTTTTACTTTATTTGAATTGTTTTAAATGTTTAAAAATACTTTTATGCTTTTTTAAATTCTGAAAAAATTATGGAATGATCCAATGATATTGTGACAAATACTGGTGACCTTATTTTATTTTTGTTTCTGACTTTGTTATTTTTTTTATCATTTTTGGTTTATTTTACTCATTTCTTTTAATTTTAAAAAATATTTTCTGACTTTAAAAAATTACCAAAAAATTATAAAATCATTTGAGTCCTTTTCTGATTTTTCTATGGTCTTACTTTTTATTTCTTGATCAATTTGAACATAGTTGATATTTTTCTCTTTTATTTCTATTTTTAAAACCTTTTTTAAAACCTTTTTTCTATATATTAAATGTAATATTATTTTGTGACTATTTTCTGGCTGATCTTGGGTTAAATTTTTGATCATGAACTTTATTAACATCATTGGATCCATGGTGTTGAGTCTAACTCCACAAAAATGGATGAATAATTTTAATAATAGTTTGATTAAATTTAATTCAAAAGTGGTTTGTATATTCTCTCCCACCCCTCTTCATCTCATCCATTTCTTATTGCACTAAGTATTATTGGAGCATGATCTCTATATCATGTCTCAAAATAAATGGTGCATAGATTGCTATTGACCAGCCTCAAAATAGGTGCGACTTCTATATAAGTCCACTTACGATTGCTTAACATAGCGCTAAATTTTGTCCCGATTCGAATAAATGATAATTTGTGGCCCAAACTTATGTTTGCAAGCCTAAGTATGTTAATTTGATCTCTTTGATCCAATAACCTTGAGATTCATTGTGTGGAGGCTTTGGTTCTACCGATCCTCTAATAGATCTACAACACCTTTGGTCAACACAGATCACTTAAATATTGTTGATCATTAAATGGTACTTATGAGGATTTCAAATGGATGATATACTTGACAAAAAGCAGATGCAACTTATTGTATGGAGGCTTTGGTTCTACCAATCCTCTAATGATTTCCAAATGCAAGTTTCAAGATGATCATCCAACTAACCACTAATCACTAATAATTGACTTTATCATTTATTTTTATTATATGCCCCTTTTATTTTTATGCACTATTTACTTTTAGCATTTACATTCCATGCCATTTTCATCTTTGCTCATTTGAGCATTTACTTTCTTGTCATTTTTATTTTGCTCACTTGAGCTTTTCTTTTCTTTTCTTAAGATACTTAATAATCAATATGAACCATAAAATCCTTAATGATACTTGGACTATTTTGTTACTATTCTTGACATTATTGAGCATTGGACTTCTTGGACTTAGGATTAGAAACTTTGGTCTATGATTGGAGACCTTGTGGCCTTATCTGATTATTTTGTCTGGAGCTCTTGAGATTACCTCAAGACATTGGGTTGTTTGTTTGTTTTGTGTGCAGGTTATTGTGATTACACTCTTTGTTTGTAATCTGGAATTCACCCGTATACAGTCGTTACTCTGCTCAATTTTTATGAAGACTTAATACACTTGAAGTTTGATTCTCTCAAGAGGTCTAGTATCTTTGCTTGCTTGCTTTCAATCTAAAGAATGGAAATTCTATCTTGACTCATAATGTCAAGTGTTGGCTTCTTGTTGGCTAGATGGTTCCTATTCCTAGATTTTACCTTATGCTTTAGGATATTCTCTTCTTCTCCTCCTATCCTCTTTAATTTCAAAAATCTTCTTCCTCCTTTTGAAAACTCCTCTTGTTTTAAAACTTGAACCACTTTCATAATAAACTTGGACTTAGGTCCATGCATTTTCAAAAAACAATTTCATGAATGAACTTCAATCAACTTAATAATATTTTGGCATCATTTTTTTTGTGAGAAGACTAAAAGTCAATCAATCTCATTTCAAATCATTTTTTCCACTTTGGCTTTCTTATTTTAAAACATTTCTCAAAAGATTAGACTATTGTCAATCCTTGTAGTGATGCAAACAACTATACTTCTATAATATATAGTAAAGAGAGATATTTTTCACTTGGGTGTTGAGTCAAGCATTGTTGATTTTAAAATCCAAATTATATCCTCCACTTTGAGATGATGCAAATTCTCCTTTCTCATGATTGTGGGTAGTAGGTATGTTTTCCACACGGACAATGACGATGATGTTTTATCTCATAAAAATTAACCAACGCACTTACATTTTAAAATTTTTAAAGAGGAACTACATATATCCTGATCCCCAACGCACTAAAGGTTCGCAACCGCGGCAGGTGAAAAAACTATAAAAATATTTTTCTTTTCTCACCTCCACCATCCATTTTTTTACACAACATTTCATAGCCAAAATATACAGATTTTACAAAGAGGTTCCTGCGGAGTACCGTAGATGTTTAGGGTGCTAATACATTTCCTTTACATAACCAACCCCTTTACCTTTAATCGTTCCCCCTCTTTTTAGGTTATTCGCTCTTTTCACATTCCTTTGGAAACAATAAAGTGCGGTGGCGATTTTATTTTGATTTGTACAAGCCTAGTTAATCTCATGGTTTAGTCTTAAACATTTCTACCGCTACACATTACCAGATACAAAACTTAATCATTTAATATTTACACTTTGTATATTTACACTTGAGCTTTATGTCTCCCGGACCTGCTTTAGGCTTGGAATGATGCATGTGAAGCTACATATCAAAGATATTGGGCATTGGTCATATGGACTCCCGACGAGAAGGAAGGCATAATTCACACTCCTATTTCTAAGGTTTGCACCCTTTCTCTTTTTATTTTGTGTGTGTTTAGGTCCAGTGATGATTTGCAACATGCTTAATATGATTGCTATATTAGAATGTGTTACTAATTGTGTTTATATATGCGATTTTATGTCAGGTGTTTATGAATGATAGGAAGACTGAGAGGGTAATGCTAGCTCATCATTCGAGTATAAAACCTCACCAAGTGATTGTAACTGAGTATCGGGTTCTTAGTCCAAAGATAAATGGATGCTCATGGATTGAGATGCGTCCACTAACTTACCACAAGCATCAGGTATCTTCGGCGATCCTTTAAATTATCTATTAAACCAAATTGTGCTTGTAAAGAAAGTAATTAGACATGATTTTCATATATGTTTGAATATAGTTAGGACTTTAATTTATCTTAGAATATCATTAGTTTTGAAATACTTCGTTCTATTACGCGTATTGTGTGTTGTAACATTTCACTAATATTGAATCCTATGAGTGGCATGCAGCTCAGAAGCACTGATAGTGAGTTTAAATCAATGCCATTTGTCTGCTGCATCATCCTTGCAAGGCAGCATTTCACTTGCCACATGGTCGTTGCTCAATGGCTAGAATAAGTGTTACATGTCGATTTTGAGCTACAGTTTTATGGAAAACAATAACCCCACACGCCGGGCCACCACAGTTCAAACTACTTTTCTTTAGTTTTTCTTCTCTAAAAGTATGCTAATTTTTTTAGAGCTTCTAAGAAATATTTGGTCCAACTTCTCCTTGGACGATCTCCCTGTCCTTAAGAGTATATTTATCGAGGGTTGTATAAATCTGAAATCGATATTATTTGCAGAAGATGCACCACAAAAGAGTCTCTCATTTCTTAGAATCACCAGAATATGGGATTGTAATGAACTGGAGTCATTTTACTCGGGTGGATTGGTCACTCCTAACCTTATTTATTTTGCAGTGTGGAAGTGTGATAAGCTTCCTTCACTACCAGAAGCATTGAACACTCTAAGTGATCTTCAAGAAATGGCAATTGATAATCTACTCAATCTTCATTCTTATTTCATAGATGATTTGCCTATCAATTTACAGGAATTGACTGTTGGCTCTGTTGGTGGGATTATATGGAACACTGAACCAACTTGGGAACATCTTACTTGTCTTTCTGGGTTGCGAATTAGCAGCGATGATATGGTGAACAAGTTGATGGTTCCATTGCTACCTCCATTGCTTGTGACACTATGTATTAGTGGTTTTAATTATACAAGCATTGATGGAAAGTGGTTTCAACATCTCACCTTTCTATGTAAAATTGTGATTGCTAATGCTCTCAAACTCAAGTCGCTACCAAAAGAGGGATTTCCTTCCTCTCTTTCTGTACTAAATATCACTTGTTGTCCATTATTGGTAGCGAGTTTGCGGAGGAAGCGAGGGATAGAGTGGCGTAGATTGCTCACATTCCCTCCATAATTATCGACGACGAATTGATCACATGATTATCCTGTTCAGGTGAGTTTCTAAAATATTTTTTTTGTTTCTTTCTTATCATGTCATCATTTAATATTGTTAAAAGTCAACATTAACGTTAATATATAATATTACAACACTAACTACTAACTCATTTTTAACCATAGAATTATGCTTTGTCACCTCTGTTTGTGCCCAATCTTCCTATTGTGAGAAGCCAAATTCCTATGCACAACCTGAAACCAAGTCCATTAAATGTTTTATTAATCAGGAACAGATGAAAAGGAAAAACGATAATTGACTGCAAATATGTTGGAGAATCTTTTTGTCTGTATGACTTCATGTATATGTATATTTTATTGAGTTGGTTTTAATTTTCTGTTTTTAATTTGTATCAAACTTTTGTAACGTGAATTAAATTCTTCTCTATTCTATTAGTCTAATAAATATAGACCTTGCCTTTTTCACTAATTTTAAAATTAGATTATGATCCATGTGACTAGCATTGTAATAAGGAACCAACTACTCTACTTCTCCCATTTATGGTAATTGATACAATGGTATAGAATATTTGTATTAGGAGAAATTAATTTTGAATTGTATGTAATTTTGAATAATTCAATGAATATGTTTTGTATTTAAGAATGTTTATGCATAAGTAATTTTGAATAATTCAATGAATAGGCTCTACATTTAAGAATATTCATGCATAAGTAATTTTGAGTAATTCAACGAATAGGCTCTACATTTAAGAATGTTTATGCAGATGAAAGTTGTTTATCAAGTAAACACAAAATAGTACCATTTTTGTGGTGTTTCATGGTGCACATCTAGTATTTTTCTGAGTAGCCATACATTATCAATATAGATTTACTAATTGATTTCATGTAGAAATTATGCATCGTGTTGCATATGGATTTGACAATTTGTAGGAGAACGAGCTATGATATCTATGACGGGATTTACATCGGTCTCCGATTGATTTCACTTTTGAAAAGAAAGTCCACCAAAAACTTCTTTCGGTGATTTAAAGTGTGTTATATCTTCAGGAATATTATGGACAAAGAGTCAACATTCCATCATACTTCAACTCATCTTTTGCTTCTGGTCATCCTCCTCACCCATACATGTGGGGACCACCTCAGGTAGTGCTCCATAAGTTCATTTACTTTGAGCGCACGGTTGTCCTTGCGTACATCCTTGATGGCATGGATGAATAATTTGCCAACTTATTCTTTCTTTCATCCTATGATGCATCCATATGGGCAGCTCCAATGGTTTGCTTTTCGAGATTACAGGAAATCTAGCGCAGCAGACTATGCAAAAGTTGCAAGCGAGAAGATATCAAGATTGTCTTCATGGAATAGCTTAGAAAACGACGCTTCATTATAGTGCTTCTTCAGGGTGCTTTGAGAGGTTTAGCTTACATGCATGATCATGATAAATTGCACCAGAGTCTTGGACCATTTTCTGTATCTCTCAAGTATGTAACTAGAAGACATTTAGTTTTGTTCTATGTTTTCCATTTGGATTATATTTCCCTCTCACTCTATCATTAACATGCTTAATTTTAATATGATGGCAGAAAATAATCATTTATCCCGTCAGCATGTCCGAGAAGTCTTAGAGAACCCTGTGTTGAGCTTGGTTCCTCATATTGGTTATGTTAATTTCTTCCCATTCATGGAAATAATCATTCCATCAGTAAGCAGTGCACTTAATTATGAATATTGTCTTTCTTAATATTTGCACCAGGCTCTGTGTTAGGAGTAACTCGACGTCCATTTTGGCTTTATGTTGTAGCTTTGATTGGTTCTTGAATATATCGCATGTGAAGTCCTTAAAAAGGCTTTCAAACATAACTTGGTGGCTGAGAAATTACATAGGGTAGCTGAAGGAATGGGTATGCATCTCTTTGGTTTATCTGTATATTTATTTTTCTATTGAGATCTGATTTCCTGAGGCTGTGTATACACCAGACATTGGTAAATTGATAAAAGGATGTGAATTTCCTGATGTTATGCATGAAAAAAACATTTTACAAGCAAGACTGATGGATTTATCAATCAGCATTCGTAATTCACAGTATTCATTCTGTTGTTATTTAGTTTCACCATAAATTATTTCTGTTTATTGATGTTGCAGAATACATAACTGTATATGAAATTGTTGGACCACTGGTCATTCTTGAGAAAGTTAAGGTAACATTGACACTGATTACTGATATAGAGCCAGATGAGCATGTGAAGTGAGCTATGAACGAAATCAATGCTGGTAATTTTTTGTGACCACAACATTTGTATTGTATGAATTTAACTTATATCTCCTTTGTTCATGGAGTGCCATATTTTCTTATACTGTCTTGTGTCTTTGAACAACTCAAAGATTGAGGATGGCGACAGATGAGAAGGCAGAGAAGATCTTGCAAATTAAAAGAGTTGAGGGTGAGGCTTTGTTCTAATGAATAGACACAAAAGCAGAAATTGTGATGACTTGGTTGACTTTGTAGTCAAACCATATTCATGTGGAGGTTTTGGTTCTTCCTGTATTTGAAGGATTGATTAAGTTCATATAATATCATGACACAAATCAGAGATGGCGGCAGTGTCTCAAACTAATTCTACGAGAATGTATTCTTGGTGGTGGGATAGTCACATAAGCCCTAAGAACTCAAAATGGCTCAAAGAAAATATCACCGATAACGCTTTTGATCTTTCCAGTTTTAATAACTTAAGATATTAACATAGTTATTGAGTTGCACAAATTAATGTTGTTTTGTTATTATCCATCGTTTAAACTTATCGCGATGATATCTCGTGTTGCACAGATAGGATTTCAAGGTGAAGCAAAAGTGTTATTATGCCGTCACATCCGCTATTTTATAAGATTTTGCAATTAATAGTGTATCATAGAACAACAAATATTTTTTCAAATTCTGCTATGATATGATATAGCGTTATAGGGCCCTATTTAACAAATTGTGTTATACCTCATATTAATAGACACTATAAGGAAAAATTTATATATGGGCTGAATTTAATGTAGACAGTTTTATGTTGCGACTTTTTCTTTTTAATTAGTAGACGTTTATTTATAGTTAACATGAATGGGCTTGTAGTATCTATACTACCAAAATGAGTGTTCGCCTAATCCTTCTTCAACTAAAACAACCTTTAAAATGTTAGAAGATTTCATGTATGAAAACGTAAGTGATGCTTATTGAAAAGATCTCCTAGAGTAAGTAAAGTTTATCACGGTTATTATTATATATTAATTAAAGATTAACTTTTATTTATTGTTTGGTTTGTAGCCAAGAGTCTAATGAGTAAGATGCAACCATTATTCTACAGTTCCAAATGAAAAAAATTGCACTAAGAGTTATCAAAGTGATAATTGGAATTATCATTGATTTTTAGTTCATTTAAGTGTGGATTCATGTGTATTTAAAAATTGATTTCGTTTTAAATTTATGTTATAAAAGGCTTCCGTTTGTATAGAGGATTTATAATACAACGTGGAGATTTTCATTTATTTTATAGAATTGAAATCTTTCATATATTTCAAACACGCCTGCAAAAGTTATTCTTGTCAGCTAATTAAACTGAAATTGAAACATAAAACTCTTGATTATTAAGATGTAGATAGAAATTCTTAAAAATATTAATTGTTATCGATTAATTCAACAATATTTCCTTCTATTTAAAAATATAAATATCATTAAATAATTTAATAAATCTTAATCAATTATATTAATTAGAAGAAGGTTTAAATTTAAATTTGTGATTTAAATAAATTTGTGATTTAAATTTGATTCAAATAATTTTATATATTGAAATAATTATAGACACCAATTTATTATCACTTTTATAAAAAATTTATTTTATTTTAATTATATTTTGAGAACAAATGCGCGTAGTATATAGTGTAAACGCACAAGTATCCCACTAGTTTGGATAAAATAACCAAAACATCCTATATTCCGAGTGGGGTGATAAATATGGAGCACAACTTATGTTGAAAGTAATATTCATGTCTTATAGTGTAACTCAAAAAATAACGAGCCTATAAATTGTGTTTATAAAAATGACTGGTTGGTGTAATTTTCAACAAATAAACCATTATTCTGTCTACACTATCATGTTTTAAGTAAGACACTATTGATAATATTAATCAGTAATGGAAATGAAGAAAGGTTAAGCAAAGAAGCATGTAGAGAATGCCAATCCTCCTTACAAATTACAATTTCCCTTTTACAAATTTGTCTTTTGACGAAGAAATCCTATCCCTGCCAATTCTACGAAGCTGGCTCAAAATCTCATTAAAATCTACAGGGGGGTCGCATGAAAAGTGCACCTGTTTCCCTGTATGAGGATGCTCAAACCTACACGACAATGATCAAAACCAATAATGCTATCAAGTTTCATGAATCATGCATATAAAATTAGAACCAAAGTTTAGCCAGGAAGTTATAAAAGCTTTTATCATAGTACCCGAGAGTCAAAGCATGAAGACAAGGCCTGTCTAGCTCAGAAACTACTTTAACCATTTTGCCTTGCAAACTCGGGGTTGTCCGTGGCCGTAGCAGTGACAAGACCATGCTTTTCGTCCCTCCATATACCTCGTCACCAAGCAGAGGTACGCCCAAATACTTGGCATGTGCACGGATCTACAAAACAAGTGTGCATTTTGTATATTATTATAGTTGAATGTTCTTTGAAGAATTATATATGCTGTTAAATTCTATTAAAAATCATGTCTGTCACCAAATCATTGGCTTCTAAATCATTTTTACTAGTTTCGACGATCAATCTTTTTTTCCTTTGGCTTAACCGATTGAGTTGTCATTCATCTAATCTATTCTCTTTACTAAAGAATTTTTAGGTCTTCTCCATGCATGACCAAACCACCTACGTCGAGATTCAACCAACTTTTATACAATAGATGCCAACAATTTTCTTATACCGACAGACCTAATCATATCTCGTCTAGTGTTTCACACATTCAACACATCAGTTTCATCTCTACTATAGTATTAGTGAGTTTATTCTCATGTTGGCTTGTTACCATCAAACACTCATTCTCATACAATGTCGTATAACTTCTTGAGAGTTTCTAAAGATATTTACCTGATGAGTGCGCCCTGTTTCTAACTTCCATTCAACCAACGCACAGCTACCCCCAGCAAGTATCTCAATTACTTTGTACCTGACAGATAGTAATCAACTATTAGATGAATAGACGTCCATTAAGCAGTTGCTATAAAACCTATTTGAAAAAACTTCTCCAAAAACATTCTTAGAAAATGTAATACAATGAAGTATTAAAATAATATTGCAACAATTATTGAGTTTTTAAAATAACATCTTCTCCTTTAAGTTAACTAGTTTTTTGTCTTTCTAATTCTACAGAACCTCTCATTTAATTTTATATAATTAAATGATAAAAAAACCGAAGGATTAAATATCTTGTTGACATTTTGTCATGAATCACGATAATTGCTAGTTAGAAAGTTCAACGGATTCTACTGGATTTTTTATTGGCAGTGTCATATGAATTTAATAATAACACGCTCAAAGTTCATATAATACGTGTACACAAATGCTGAAATATACACATTTATGTTGATAATTTTGATTGATGCATTCGAAACTTTCCAATAGTCCAATATTGACCAAAGCACCTAATATAATTCAGTATTAGTAAACAACTAAATATAAATAAAGTGTAAAAGTACCATAGGTCACCTACTAGCAGCATGACGAGCCTTTATAGAATTAACTGCTCCAGTAACAGCGGTCATCCGAAGCCGGTTATTAGGATCCCGACCAACCGGAACTTCAACACGACCAGCAACTGGAGTAGGTACCCCAGCAGTGAGACTAACATAGACCCTCTTGATAGTGCGTAGCTTGAATTGTTCAGACAATTTCTTATGAGAATGTTCATCCTGATATCAAGGCATACAGATACTGAGTGTAAGATGAATGCTAATCTTTTGAAGTGTAAAAATAGTTGCACTCTTCATTAAAGTTAGGCACTTTAACAAGTTCTGAAAAAATGTAAAAAGTACCTTGGCAACAACTAGCAACCCACTCGTGCCTTTGTCTAATCTGTGTACAATCCCTGGGCGAATTGAGGCCACACACAATCTAGAATCTAACACTTCACAAGAACTTGCATTAGATGAGAAGCCATTAAGTTCATCATCAAAATCCTCCGTATCTGAAATAGCTTCCTCTTTAGAATATTCAACATTTGGCAGGTTGCAATGGTGAAGGATGCCATTGACAAGTGTCCCAGACGTATTCCCAGGTGCTGGATGCACAACCTAGGTTAGACACCAAATAAACACATTTTTCAATATCAATATTTTGAGTTCGTTTTGATTTGCCTGCTGAAAATTTCTTAAATGATTATAAATCAATTTTAAAGAATAGCTTCTAGTACTAGCAGATTGGAATGAAAACAGTTGGTTAGTCTAAACAGCCAGAATTTAATCAAGTGTTTGAAAATCAAAAAAATCAATTTATAAACAAAAAACAAGAGCCTTGTACAACAGTCACACTATTTACTGTGCAATTATGCACGTGGATTGTGCAAGATTTTAAAATAACTTAGAGCAAGAGGTTTAGAATTACCATGTGAGCAGGTTTATTTATGACTAGCAAATGCTCATCTTCAAAAACTATATCCAATGGTATGTTTTCTGGCACAGCTCTCAACTGCTGCAACTCCGCAATTGTGCATTTGATCTCATCCCCAGTTCTGACATTGAAAGAAACCTGCTCAAGTATCAGTCAACTACAAGTTAAGAAATGAATTCCAGAAACTATTGACACCTTAAAAGACCTACACCATTTCAAATGGAAAAAAATTGTGATTTCCAAACAAGAACTTTCACAGTTCAGTGAATCATAATGTTCTGGTTAATGCTCCAATTGTTGAAATAACCAAACAAAACTGGAAAGTGAGAAATATAGTTTGGGCCTGGGAAATTTTCAGAGTCATCTTTTAATCATATATTATTTTTTCTGTTTTGACAAAGTATTGTTGAATTAGGAAAATGTGAATCATTCAAGTTCATCACAAGTCACAAACCTTTGATCTGCAAAAGAGCCACCCTCAGAATATTTGATAGTGATCAAAGTCTTAATACCTTAAACGCCCTAAGTAATGGTAGTTCTCAAATTCACTAAATGAAACAAGAAAGCCATCATTACAGATCTAGTCTCAACTATGAGATTATTTCTTCAAGGAAAGACTTCTAATTTATGAGCATCATCTAAACATTGGAGAATGGGAGACTTGGCAGTTGGCATAATGATTGAGTCGTCACCGTGTAACCGAGAGGTCATGAATTCGAGTTGTTGAACCCTCTTGTAAATGCAAGATTAGACTGCACAATAGACCCCAAAATGGTTTGATCTAGACTCAGGACATGGTGAGCGAAATATAGCACAAGGCCGCCCTATCTCATCTAAATATTGTAAATATTTTCTAAATCCTTAGCACAAAGCACATTTTATTTTCATCAACTGACCACAAATAAACATGGGGTATATTCTAGGATTGAATAATCTGGATTCATAGCTCTTCTTTGATGGTTAAACAAAAATTAACTGGAATTTGGAAATTCTTTTTAGTTGGAACAAAATACAAAAGTACATAAATGTGACACCCTGCAATATTTTCTAAGGTTAAATATGTTTAGTATCTATAATGTAAGCTTTTTTCACTTTTGGTCTGTATAAAAATATCTCGTATTCATCTCGCAAATCTATAAATGATCATTTTTGGCCTATTTCGTTTATGGATTTCTGTTAAATGATGAGTTGACTAACAGAAGGACACATTAGTGGTGCCACACATCAAAACCTGCCTAGGTGGCTGATAGGTTCAACTTAGCAATTAGAGCAGATATAGTGAAGAAATAGGGAAACTGTATTTGATTTAATGAAAAGGAGAGCAGAAATACAAGCTAGAGTTCAAATGGGATCTAGCTAACTGAGTACTCAGATTTGTTTTCTCTCTCCTCTGCTACGTGTACTAGTCATGTGCATTTACTCAACTTAGTTACAAGGGAATTACTCCCTGCAACATAGTGCTCTCTTTTTCTTGTGTACACATTCTTAAAACTATCCATGCCTCCCCCCATTAAAACGCTCCTTGACCTCAAGGAGAAATCCAGAAAATTCAGCCCTCATCTTATCCACTGACTCCCACAAGTTCTCAAACTCAGGCAGACCCTTCCATTTGATTAGCAATTCCGCTTCTTTTTGTGCATTTTGTCTCATGTCTAGGGCATCCTCAAGACTTGGTTCCAAGTACCAATCCTCATTCATACAGGATTGCAGTGTTGGGGTTGGGGTTCCACATTAGGAGCTAAGGCTTTCTTTAATAAAGACACATGAAAAACTGGATGGGCTTTGATATCCTCAGGTAGTTTCAACTCATAAGCTACCCGGCCTACCTTCTTAATCACTTCATAAGGCCCATAATAGCGAGGAATCAGCTTCTGATTGACTCTCTTAGACAATTTTTTTAACTTGTAAGGTATTATCTTCAAGTAAATCAGGTCTCCGATGTTGTACTCAGCATCCCTTCTATGTTTGTTAGCCTGATTTCTCATGTTATCTTGGGCCTTCAACAATTGTTCTCTCATCTCTTTCAACATCTTATTCCTCTCTGCATTCAACCTGCTAACTTCTTCCACGGCTGACAGGTTAACATCACCCCACATCAGTATTGGTGAACCTCTCCCATACAAAGCTTCAAAAGAAGTGGTTTTCAAGGATGCATGGTAGTTGGTGTTGTACCAGTATTCTGCCCAAGCTAATCACTGCTTCGGTTTCTTCCCTGTCACACACCTTAAATAGGTCTCCGGGCACCTATTGACCACCTCAGTTTGGCCGTCAGTTTGGGAGTGGTAGGCACTACTATACTTCAGCTTAGTGCCTGCCTGTTTGAAAATTTCTGACCAGAAATTGCTTAGAAACACTTTGTCCCTGTCTGATACTATTGAGCTAGGGAAGCCATAACCTTACTATTTCCTTAATGAACAAGTCAGCTATATCTCTAGTTGTATAAGGGTGGCTCACAGGTATGAAGTGGGCATACTTAGTCAATCTATCCACCACTATCATAACAGTATCGAACCGTCACCTTAGGCAACCCTCCAATAAAGTCCATAGAAATATCACTCCATATTTGAGTGGAAATGGGAAGGAGTTGTAACAGTCCCCCTGGGCTTAAGCTTTGGTATTTATTTCTCTGACATACTTCACATGCTTGAACATACTCCTGAATTTTTTTTCTCATCCCCTCTCAGTAGAGCACTCTAGTAATCTTGTATGTTCTGAGATACCCTGAATTCCCCCTACTGCAGTGTCATGGAATTCATGTAGGACCCAAGCTACTCTTGGTGATCCTTTTGGAATCTTCCTCCTTTGAGTTGAAATCCTGGATGGCTAAGAGGAATCCAAGAGTAGATCCTTCACTATCTCCTTCAGCTTGTCAACACAAAATTGTCCTTCAATAGCTAAGTTAAGGCCATGCTATCATCCCATAATTCTTTACAAATTTTCTATAGTATCCAGTAAGACCAAAAAACATCTCAAACTTTTCAAGTTCTTAGGTTGAGGCCATTTCAACATGCCCTCTATCTTCTTGAGATCAGCAGCCACTCCTTTCCCAGATATGATGTGGCCCAAATACTCAACCACATTTTGAGCAGATGAACTTTTTTTTTTCTGTTGGCATACAACTTCTGGCCCCTTAGCATTAGCATCACCTTTCTCACATGCTCCTTATGGTCATCCTTATTTTTGCTATAAATAAGGATGTCATCAAAGAAAACTAATCAGAACTTTCTCAAATAAGGTCTTAAAACCTCATTTATTAGGGCTTGGAAGGTAAAGGGTGCATTGGTCAACCCAAAAGGCATCACCAAGTATTCATAATGACCTTCATGAATTTTAAAAGCAGTCTTTGATATGTCTTCTTCTCTCATTCTGATTTGGTGGTAACCTGATTTTAAATCTAGCTTGGAAATAACCGTGACTCCTCTCAATTCATCCAAAAGTTCTTCAATCACATGTATTGGGAATTTGTTAAGGATAGTGACTTTGTTCAAGGCTCTATAGTCAGTGCAAAATCTCCACCCTCCATCCTTTTTTTTTTCACTAGCAGAACGGGGCTAGAGAAAGGATTGATATTGTGTCTGACTATGCCAGCTTGCAGCATATCTTTGACTATCTTTTCTATCTCATTCTTCTGATAGAATGGATATCTATAAGGCCTCAAATTGGGAATTTCTACTCAAGGTTTCAATAGAATGGCACGATCATGGTCCCTCATAGGAGGTAGTCCTGAAGGCATGTTGAACACATCCCTAAACTCCTTTAGCAGCTCATCCCACTCCCTCACCTGCTCTGTTCTATACTCATCAGTCTGGCTTTCCCTAATGTCCTGCACAAAGAACCTCAAACCTTCATTGTTCAGAGCCTTCATTATTGCCTTCCATGAAGCCTTCCTCGTACATAAAGTAACCTTGATTGAGGTGCTTCTTGCCCTCTATTCCCCACCTCAGACATAGATTTCCAAAGTTAGGTTCAATATTTCCAAGGCTGGCTAGCCAGTCCATGCCCAGCACCATCTCAGACCCACCTAACTCCGTAATGAAAAAATGTTGCTGGAATGGAATTTCCTGGATTTTGAATTCCAATCCTTCACATACTCTCTGATTTTTCACCTTCCCCCATTTCCTACCTTAATTACATAGGCAGGAGTGTCCACTACCTTTAATCTCAACTCCACCAATTTTGAAGCTATGAAGTTGCTAGTAGCTCCCGAATCAATTAAGGTTACTACTTGTCTGTCTCCTATTTGCACCCACACTTTAACGGATTTGTTAAAAGTGAATCCAGCCTGGCTCTGCAATGACAATTTCAGTGTCTTCATTTCTCCCACCTCTTCCTCTTCACTCTTGGGTTCATTTACCAGTTCATTTTCTCCTTTTTCCTCACTACTATCCTCACACAACCTCAAGCTCAAGTATTTGAACTTGCAGACGTGTTTCATATTCCATTTGTCTCCACATTTGAAACACAACCCTTTCTTGCTCCTTTCCTCTAACTCTAGAGGGTTTAACCTTCTACCCTTAAACTTTTCATTCACCCCGTACTAACCTTGTCACCCTCCTTAGACCCACCAAAGTCTCCAGGATACTTGATCCTAAGAGTCCCACATGTGTCCCTCCACGTGCTTCCTTTTTTTTTTCTTCAATAACTAATGGCATACCCATTAATTCAACTAAATTCTGACTTTCATGTAACTTCAGTTCTGTTTGAATTGTCTTTCAATCCACATTTAAAAAGATGGAAACAAACATGACTCTTTCCTCCCTCCTTAACGGTGCTACCATCATCTCAAACTTCTCCATGTATTCCACTACGGTGCCTTTTTGCCTTAAACTCAGTAAGGGTCCCATCAAATTGTGTAACAGCCTTGGTTGAAAATGTCGCATAATAGTCAGCTTAAATTCGTCCCACGTTCTCAAGTGCTTGTTCTACCTGTCACTGATACCAGTTCAACGCCTTATCCTCCATCGCCAACACCACATCATCTATTTTGTCTTGTACTCGCACCCCATTCAGATGGAAATACGTTCAATATGCACCAACCAACCATACGTTGCTTCTCCTTTGAACAGGGAAATCTCCAATCTCCGCCTACTTTCTGTCATGAACGAAGAATCTGGTATCGATTCCACCCCATGATGGCGATGGATGGTATGATCATGACTCCCGCGAAAGCGTACTCCGGTCGCTTCTTTCTTCCTCCTCGTCGTAACCTCGAACACGTGGTTGTCCATTTCTCAGGTAACTTCAAGTTGATTACTCTTGAATCGACTATCGAATTTGATTCCTTGTGACTTGGGGTCTCGATTGTTGCTCCACCACCAGTTGACGAATCTGTTTCATCGTTATTTCGAAGTTGATCGTCCTCTATTCTATGGTGTCTACTCTGTTTTCAATAATGCTTCGTGTAATGACCATTCACTATGTAAACGCAACCGAGGCTCTAGATACCAAATTGATAGGTTTAATTTAGCAATTATAGCAGATATAGTAAAGAAATAAGGAAATTGTATTAGATTTAATGAAAAGAAGGAGAGAAGAAATACAAGCTAGGTTCAAATGGGATCTTGCTTTCTCTCTCCTCTGCCACGTGTACTAGTCATGTGCATTTACTCAATTTAGTTATAAGGGAATTATTCCCCGCAGCATAGCGCTTTTTTTCTTGTGTACACTTCCTTAAAACTATCAGTGGCATGCCAACTCATCCCTTCTTTTTCAGGATAATATGCCACTGTTAGTTTTGAGAAGGTGTACAAGAGAAAACGTGGGCGCCAAGTGGGAGGAAATAATTTCCCTTGTAACTAATTTGGGTGAATACACATGATTAGTTACATGTGACCAGGTGGAGAGAGAGAGAGAATGAGTGGGTGTATATTCAGAAAGATTATTCTGTTACGGGGTATGCATGAATTGAGTGACCATCACCCTTAGGAGAGACTGAGTCTCTTGAAGAGCTTACTACTATTTTCTGCATTTCGTTTTCCCTAAATTACTATTGTCATCTTAAACTAGATCCCATTTAAACTCTAGCTTGTAATTAGAGTGACCCTGTTTCACTTTAATACTAATACTATTCCTTAATTTCTCTTTATTTTTACTTTATCTGCTAAATTGAACTTATCAATTTGATATCCAGAGCCTCGGTTGCATATGAAAGGTAAGTACACGAAGCATTATGGAAAATCGAGTAGACACCATGGAATAGAGGATGAGCACTTCGAAACGACAATTGAGCAAATTTGTCAGTTGGTGTTAGAACAACAATCGAGACCCCAAATCACGGTGAAACAAATTCGTCAGCCGAGACAAAAGCAACTGATTCGTAATTCCCAGCGAAATGGACGACCATGTGGTAGAGGTTACTACGACAATGACGAGGAGGAAGGAAGTAACCGGAGCTACCCGCGACATGAAGGCGGTAATGGTCCCAAATTCTTCGAGAGTATGAGGAGGTTGGAGATTCCGGTATTTAAAGGAGAAGATGTGTATGGTTGGTTGGTGCGTATCGAACAGTATTTCCGTTTGAACAGAGTGAGTGTGCAAGATAAAATGGAGTTGTAGTGTTGGCGATGGAGGATAAGGCATTGAATGGTACTAATGGTGGGAAGAACAAGCTCTGTCGAGAACGTGGGATAAGTTTAAGTTGTCGATTATGCGTCGTTTTCAACCTTGGTTGTTACACAATCTGTTAGGACCACTACTAAGTCTAAAGCAGAAAGGGATAGTGATGGAGTATATGGAAAAATTTAAGAAGATAGGCGGTGTCGTTGAGAAGAGAAGAAAGGGTCCTATTAGACTCCATATTCTTGAACGGACTAAAGGAGCAAATCCAAGTTGAATTAAAGTTACATGAGAGCCATGACCTAGATGAATTAATGGATCGTGCACTACTCATTGAGGGGAAAAATGAGGCGATGACAAAAAAAGGTAACCCATGGAGACATAGGGGTACACTTAAAACCAAGGACCCTGGTGAGATGAATGGGGCAAAAAAGGAGGGTGAGAAGGATAGTACTGGAGTAAATGAAAAATATAAGGGGTAAAGGTTAGATCTTGCTGAATTGGAGGAAAGGAGCAAAAAGGGACTATGTTTCAAATTTGGAGATAAGTGGGATAGAGACCACATATGTGAGTTCAAACACGTGAGTTTGAAACTGTGTGAGGAGAATCAAGATACCTTAGAACTTATAAAGAAATTGCTAGAGTCCTATATTGGGAGGGAATGAGAAAAAGGATTTAAGAGTACGTGCAAGTTTGTGAAATATGTCATAGAAACAAATACCAAACTTTGAGCCCAAGAGGGTTGCTACAACCTCTACCAGTTCCTACTCAGATTTGGAGTGATGTCTCCATGGATTTTATTGGGGGATTACCCAAAGTGAAGGGTGTGGACGCAATTATGGTGGTGGTAGATAGGTTGACTAAGTATGATCATTTCATACTTGTGAGTCATCTTTATACAGCTAAAGATATAGTTGGTTTATTCATCAAGGAAATAGCTAGTTTGCATGGTTTCCCTAGTTCAATAGTACCTGACAGGGATAAGGTTTTCTTGAGCAATTTTTGGTCAAAGATTTTTGAACAGACAGACACTAAGCTGAAATATAGTAGTGTCCATCATCACCAAACTGATGGGTAGACTGAAGTGGTTAATAGACACTAAGATGTGTGATTGAAAGGAAACCAGCAGTGGCCACAATGGTTAGCTTGGGCCGAGTATTGGTACAATACCAACTACCATGCATCTTTCAAGACAACACCTTTTGAAGCTTTGTATGGAAGAGGTCCACCCATATTAGTGTGGGGAAATGTGAATCCATCAGTTGTGGAAGAGGCGAGTAGATTGACAGCAGATAGGAATGAAATGCTGAAAGAAATGAGGGAACAATTGTTGAAGGCTCAAACCTGTTGGAAAATATTATATTTCCAGATTTATTATTTTCTTTATGGGACTATCTTTATTTCTCTTTATTTTTCATTATTCTCCATTAAGGAGAAAATTAAATATATTGATTGTATCTTCTCTATATAAACTAGACTGAGAAATAAAATACAACAACTTTTACATATTGGAAAAAATAGATAAAAGCTTATGTGTTTTATTCCTCAGCCTTATGCTGGTTTATATAAAGAAGATACAATCAATACATTTAATTTTCTTCTTAATGGAGAATAATGGATAATAAAGAGAAATAAAGATAGTCCCATAAAGGAAATAATAAAATTGGAAATATAATATTTTCCAACGGCATATATCAAAACTATTTCATCTTCATTTCTAAGAACTTATGAGAGAGCCTGGTGGAATGAGGGGAGTGCATTATTTATGCATTTTGACATTTTACAACTTTCAGCTGTGCAGAGAATGCTGTAAGCATCTCTCTGTAGAGCATGGCACAATAGTTACTCCGGTTTTCCATAATATTTCCTAAATGAGTTCAGATAGTCTCAATAGAAAATCAAGTAAAGCTATAATGATTTTAGTTGTGTTGACCACGAAAAATAGCAAGGCTGCTCCTATAGCTTTGAATAGGCAGACACACTTTCGATCTCAAGTAAATATACCCAAAAAACAGCAGCAAGTTATTCCTTTTAGTATTTAAAAGTGTAAAAAAATTGAAAGTTAACATCCACGGTTATGATTAGTTTTATTTTAAAAATCAAAATTTAAGTATATCAGATTCAAACAAGTAAACTAGCATTATTCTATAAATAATGCTAATGTCATTTGTCACATTTGCATAAAAACCAGCATGCTTGGTCCTAAAAATACAATACAATAGTGGCCTAGAATGGAAAAAATGTGACTCGTTATCTGAATTTCATGTCTGAATTCATGATTAACAAATCAAGTTCATAGTCTACCATAAATGGAAACAACCTTCCATAAAATACCAATTTTTCAAGAAAAACCTGGTTAACGTGTCATAACTATTTATAGAGAAAATGTGATTACGTTCTTATGATAAATGATCATGCCCAAATTCAGTGCCAAGTGTATAGAATAGAAAATTTAGGAAATGTGTGAGTCCATGTCTAACTTAATATTTGAATCCTCAAAAAGTCTCACTCTTCTTATATTTTTGCTCATAGCCTCATTCTCACTTTCTGATGCAGGGATTGGAGTTGACGAAACACCTTCTCAGACACAGACACTATAGACACAAGATTGACACTAACACATGCACCGGTAATAATTTAAGAAAATAGTAGTGATTGAATGTAACTATATGTGGGTGACTATCATGTCAAACACACGTCTTCAATCTAAAATTTTGATGCTAATAGATTGGAATTGTGTGCATTAAGCTACTATTGATGGAGCATGTATTTTGAATCCCCATTAAGTCTCACTCTTCTTATATCTTTGGTCACAGCCTCACTCTCACTTTCTTGTGCAAGGGTTGGAGTCTATAAAACATAGACACTCACCATACCCAATATTGACTCTAACGCATATTCACCCGAAATAGTTAATGTTTGGATTGGCGGTTGACTAAATTGATTCTAGTAAAATGGAGTTTGGTAGAATTGATTTTAACACAATTGAGTTTAGCAGAATTGATTTATGTTTGGATACATTTATGTAAAAATGAGATGAACAATAAGACAAAAGCTACAAATTCTAGCTTCAACTAGAATCAATTTAGAAGGCAAAATTAATTCTACTTTAACAGAATCAAACATATTAAAATCATTGCGGAATCAATTATGCACTTTAAAAGTGTTTTAACCCCCTTCTAGGATTGAAACCAAACATACACTAAAAAAATAAAAGTGATTGAATATAACTATATGAGTCACTATTGTGCCTATATCAACATCAGACATGTCTTCAATCTGAAATATAAATGTATAATTGAGTTATGTAACAGATTGAATGGATATTGAGTTTACCTTATCAACAACATTACCATTGACATGAACAAGTCCAGCTTTAATACTCGATTGAACGCGAGCCCTACTGATTCCATTGATGCGAGAAGAGATCCAGCTGTCGAGTCTCAGTTTTCCAGATTCGATTCCACCGTCGACGATCTCTTCCAACCGCACGCCGGCGTAATTCGATTTTGGTTCTCCGTTAGGGTTGGATTCATCGGAGAAACCAGAAACGGCTCTCGCGATGACAGAACGAAATTTGTAATTGTTATTGGAAGAGAGGGAAAATAGTGAAGGTGAAGTTCGAAACTGAAATTGGAATGCTCTTGTTGCTGTGGAAACGCCAAAACATGTACATGAGGTGTTTAGCGATAACATTTCAATCTAACTGCTTCGTCTATTTTCCATCTATCAAGCAGATAATAAAAACAACCGTTGAGAATATAGGGTATGTTTTTTTTTCAACTTTATCAATGTGGTATATTTTTTTAAGTTATCAAATTTTTTTAACATTAACTTAGTTTCTTTTTAATCTTCATTAATGAAACCGTATCGCTACTTTTTTTTTTTTTAAGATGGCGAAACTAATCCTTCTAAAATTTGAGAGTTGTATGTCTCACAGTAAAATCTCTCGTATTCAGTTTTATTAATTGAAAATCTCAGTCAAGTCTACACATGCATGTTTTCCTCTTATTCATTTATACATCAGAACATCTACAGGTCTAAGAGTCGATATGTTTTCCTATGAATCAGTCAAAAAATTCACAGGCGCCTCTTTCTTTACAGATATCTCATGCACGTCTAAATATATCAAATAAGACATCCCTATCAAGGTCATGTCGGTATTTGAATCTTAGATGTTCCTTGCAATGAATAGCATGCTCCCCAAATGTATCTAAGCACGTCTTGCGGTAAACAAGACAAACTTCATCAACGGGAAATAAGGGAATCATAAGTCAGTATTTAAGGATAGTATGGTATTCTATCAGAGACGTATGTTGGCCTAGATCGTCAATAGGGATAGTAAGGAGAAAATATTGAGCATGTGTTGCTCGCAAACAACCAAAAACTAAATTTTGTCTTGTGGTCGTGTCAAATTTTACTTTCATGCCCTAAACACTTTTTACTAAAAATACCAATCGTCAAAACATGTTGTGCTTTAGGAGAGAGGGTGTCATTTTTTAGTAAAATCGTTAAGGTCAAAATATGAAATCACAACACTAAGACCATTCAAAGCTCTATCAAAATCGAAGTCATTACCGTATACTCCATTGTCTCTCAATATATGATTTTGTAACACTCAAGATTAGGCCCTAAAAGCCACAAACGTGTATGAGGTCACCTTTACTGTCGAGTTCAAACTCAATCCCCCAACTCTAATATGTAAAGAAGCCACCATCCATTAAAGGTCCTCGAAAAAAGGATCTCCACCAACCACGATGTCTTCAACCGTCCTTCACAACTTCTTATCAAACCAAATAGCTGATTTATCCTTATGATTAGGTTGACGTGTTCTAAGACCAAAAAATAGTTTGGTGATATCTATGCAAGAACGGAGTATAAGAAGCTCACTCCGAGGATCCCTTAGTTGTGATAAAAGATGCATAAGATTAACAGCCTTGGTTGCTCTCTTCATGGACAATCCCTTGATAAAGCTTTTATCTAGACTAATAGCCTATCCAAGCAACTTCATCTCTAACATCGGCCTCTCAATGTCTAAAGGAAACAATTCTCCCGCAAATTTTACTATCATCACATGAAGGCTAAAAGATCTCCGTTTTATGAATATTCAATACGAGACCTAACATGACTCACGGATGATGTAAAGGGCTTTAGCCACCTCCCCTGGTTCCCTGTGATGATCCCATCATCGAGATATCAGGCATGAAGAAGAAGTTTACAGTTGTTATTGATCTGATGAATAAGTGGGTGTAACACAAAGACAAAAAGGAGTGTCCTTGACGGGTGACCCCTTGTTGCACTCTAGTGACTGACATGATATGCTCATCCTCAATGTATAACCTTGTTGTCTGACCATAGAGAAATTCAACCCACAAGAAAATAAATGGGCATTTCACCCTCACCTTTCGCAGAATGGTTGATCGATCTACAAAATTAAAAACATTCTTAAAATCTACCGTAAGCATAGTCAAAAAGTCATATCCTTATCGGTTGCTTAACATCATGTCGACAATGTGCAAAACAACATCAACATCCAAATAATTCATTTTAACTCTTTAAATAAGTTCGCTAAATTTTATATATTATTTTATATTTTCCAATTATTTAAATAATTTATTTATATTTTTTAAAATATTCATATAATTAATTAAATATTTTAAATTAAATCTTATTAAACACTGTAATATACTTTAAATGCTAAAAAAATTCAAACACTCATCAATTTTTAACACAATGTCTTTAGGTAATTATAAAAGAACGATGCATCACACATTCATAAATATTATTTTATAAATAATGAAAATAAAAATTAAATTATAATAAATATTTAACGGTCGCAATTCACTAATAATATAAAAATGTTTTACACTGTCAGTACATACCAATTAAATTTTACTCTAAATAGGATGGTTATCAATAATTTATTAAAAAAAGTTTTAAGCAAACTTGTGAATGACACCCATAACACGACTTTATATAAACTTTAATATAATTTAAATATTTATTTTGATTAAAATTTATATTTTTTCATTAAAAAGTAGAAAATTGAATTTCTATTTTAATATTATTTTATAAATGAAAATATTAATTTGATTATAATATTTAATTACTATACATCCATTACTATACAACCATCCCATCTTTCAGTCGTCGGTTATTTATACTCCTGAATCCTTCAAATTCCTTCTCATCTCCATCAACCTCTCGCCTGAAACATTGAGGTTTTTGTGTAATATTAAAATGTTTTTTACTGCATTTTCTATCTTAAAGTATTGATTTTTATGTATTTTTTTATGGAACCCGCTATGTTTGAAGAGGTATTGCTCTTATTTATTTCTATTTTTTTCTCCATTTTCTTATCAATTTAATTTGTTGAATGTACTTAGAAACTAAATTGACGCAATTCAGAATACAAAAGCTGAAATTAAAATGGGTGTCAGTGATAATTTATATTATGATCTCGATCGATCTCTCCATCGCCTTCCCTGAAGGAACCTATGCTCGCGTTGGTAATCCCCTTTCAAATTTATATAACTATTATTTTGTATTTTAGAATTTTTTAATTTTAGGGTTTGGAATTAAATTTAGCAAATTGCAGTGGCGAGATTGGGATTGACTTTGAATCATTCGATTGATGTCAGTGCTGGAGTGAAATAATATACACTACCAACCAGTTGGGAATTGAAAGATATATTTGTTATTGGTGTTATGCTAGGTAGCTACATGGCACTAATGGCAATAGTATTTTTCTGGCTCATGAATGATACTGACTTCTTCTCGATAATAATTTATATTTGATGATTCTTAAATCATTTATATCGTCAAATTATCTTCATACTTTTGTTGGCTTTACCATAAGCACTTATAGACAAATCTGGATGAGATGGTTATAATTGTCTAAAAATAATCTAAATTTCTCCAAAATATTGCCAATGACTGTGGTTGCAATTTTCTACATTTGTTTAGAATCTATTGTATCAAGTCAATATGTACTGAGTTAATATGTATTGTGTGCTTCACTTTCAGATTATCCTCTTTTATATTTGATTTGTAGAGACGCATATATGAGCCCATATCAAATTAGTTATGATGGTTTAAAAAAACCAGTTTGTTGGCACCTGATAATAATTGATTTAAGATTTTTACAATATAAATTGCAACCGATAATACCATCATGATATTTTGTTAGTAGTTGGTTGACTTGGTGGTCAACAAGAAATAACATGTGTGGCAACCAATGTATGAGGTAGTGACTACTGATGAGAAGCAATAAGTGCTAAAAAAGTAAAATATGAAAGAGAAACAAATAAAGTTTGTAAATATATTTTTTTGGTTTTGGCTATCTATAACTAAGAAGAACTATGTAGCCATTACTCATTTTGATTTATATTTTGGCATAAATTTTGAAAGAATTTATTTAGCTCTTGGTCTAAATAAATATGCAGTAAATGGTTGAAGCAACGTTGTTGGCAGATCTTGATCAAGATACAGTCAGTCACATCTGTTCTCTGCCTTTTGTATTTTCTGATTAAATTTGACATCAATATTGAGTACTTTATATGTGTATTCATTCTTCATTGCAAGTTAATTTTGTTCCAAACTTTGATAAGTCACACAAGAGCTGACAGTCCTACCTGCTTGTGATTTTGGGTCTCCTTTAATGAGTTTATCATCTATGAGTTAGTTGTATTCCTTATACAATTTACATGTTTTCTCCAAAGAAGAAAAGATGTGTGTTTTTGAAATAAGAGAAAAGAATAAGAAAAAAGAATAAGAGTACCAAACGAATAAATCAAATTGGATCCATTATATTTAATGACTTTTGATTTGTTTTATTATTTTTATATATTTTACAAATTATAAAGGAAGTATCATTAATAAATTATATATGTAGTTAATTTCAAAATATTTTTTACAAAAATATTAACCTAAATAGATTATACTGAAAGGGTACTTTAAATAAATAATAAAAAATATAAAATATAAAATATAAAATATAAATTTTAAATTATAAAGAAAAATAAACAAGGAAAAAAGATATTGCTTATGTGTTATTATTCAAGTCATGTAAATTATAAAGAAGAGATACATAAAATATAATTTTATGTTTCAATTGTTGAGAATGCTACTTATTAAATTATTATTATTGCTACATTAAAGTCTAAAATTGATAAATATTTATAAAATTGAATTTTCAAAAATATTTAAAATAAATAAAATAAGTATAAAATTGATGTTTATTATTGATCTAAATATGAAAAAAAATGTTACTTATTGAAATATATGCCATTGAAATAATTATTTAATAAATATGAGCTAGTGATCTAAATATGAAAAAAATATATTAAAATTGTCATGGTGAGGAAATTAGATAGAGTAAAGAGATATAATTAAATCTTGGACGGACCAATGAATGGTGGACACAAGATGATTTTATGAGTGGATGAAGATAAGATTTCAAATAACTTGTTATTATATGTTATATTTTGATGAGCAACTAATTATGAATTTTAATTTTTATGCGTATTATTTAAAAGTTACAAGATTTATTTTTATACTAAAAAATGATTTATTTTTAACATGTCAATGAATAGAAATTTGGATAGTTTAATTTTTATCTTTTATTAAGATCAATATATCAATTAGGTTAATCTATTTTAGTGTCATTCAATTACTTATTATCATAAATGGGGAGA